CAGAGGGATACACAGTAAACCGCTAGTCTAAACAGAGGAGCCTGCAGTTTATCTTGAGGAAATAAATAAAGGTCCATAAGGTTAATTAGACCGCTGCACAACCAATGCGGACACGGCTCCGCCGCTGAGAAGAATTAAACTTAACTCACCCTGCAGTTTTAACAAACGGAGCCGGAAGACATTAGCCTGCCGCGCCCAGAAGGAGAGCGGCGCTCAGAAGCGCGGCTGTCCGTTTCAGGGAAGCGAAACCAGACGAAAAAAATCCTCATAAAAGCGCACGTCCGGACCGCGCAGGGTAAAAAAAAAATAATAATAATAATTGATCGGTTTGGATCAGAGAGATCCAACTGACTGATAACTAGCGCAGATTTCTCTGTAGATGCGAACCAGGAGAAATTTGTGGCGCTGTGCATGCTGGTAATTTAAGTGAGTCGTTTAATATAATGTATTATAGGTTATTGGGGCTACATTCAGTGTTTTTTTTTTTTTTTTTTTTTTGTCAAGCAGAAAAAGTTAGATGCGTTTATGTGTGATGGGATCTGGATACATGGTTCAACTAGGTGAATATTAACTAAACCGCATAAAAATGCACTAAATAGCCCATGTTAATATGATTATAATTTGACGGTTAAAAATAGAACTTGACAGATTTTTTTTTAATGCTGTCCGTTAAAATGACGAACAAAAAAGTCTAGCGCGACCTCTGCTTGGCACACCACAGCATACAGGAGGGCACTGACCACAGATTCATAGAACATCCTAAGCAAAGTCTGGCAGACGTTGAAGGACATCAGCCGCCTCAGAAAGTAGAGGCGACTTTGTCCCTTCCTGTATGGGGTGTCCAGTGTTCTCGACCCAGTCCAGTTTATTGTCAATATGGAGTCCCAGGTATTTATGATTCTCCACAATGTCCATACTGACCCCCTGGATGGTAACAGAGGTCACCGGTGTCCTGATCCTCCTCCTCAGATCCACCACCAGTTCCTTGGTCTTTGTCAATGTGAGATGCAGGTGGTTCAGCCCACACCATGTGTCGGAGTTGCCTGTACGCAACCTCATTGCGTACAGGCAATGAGGTTGCCTGTACGCAATGAGACTCAACCACCAGCTGTGGTTGAGTCTCAGATGACTCAACCACAGCTGAGTCATCTGAGAACGCCTGTAGATGACAGGTCTCAGTGCAATAGCTGAAGTTGACTGAGGAATGGAGAAAGGACAGTCGCTTGTGGAGCCCCTGTGTTGCTGACAACACTGACGGACGAACTGTGGTCTGCCAGTTAGATGGTCCACAATCCCTGGATCCACCTGCATTTCTCAGGTGGATGCAGGTGGATCCACCTGCATTTCTCATTCAGTAGTTTCTCATTTTCATTCAGTAGAAACCAGTTTCTACTGAATGAGAAACTGGTTTCTCATTCATGAGAATGAGAAACCGTTTCTCATTCATGAGAATGAGAAACCGTTTCTCATTCATGAGAATGAGAAACCGGTTTCTCATTCAGTGGTTTCTCACAGTGCTCGCTTGCTGGTCCAGGTGAGTGCATACACAGTTCAGCAGGAAGATGATGGCGTACTCAATTCCAAGCCTGGGCTGGTAGGCAAACTGCAAGTGTGGTTGGAACTGAGGCTGAGCTGTTTTTTTTTTTGTTTTTTTTTTACAAAAGAGCTGAAACAGACTTCCTATCTGGGGATAATTCAAATCTAGACTATTTAGAGTTGCTCTTGAACCATAATAAAAGAAACAATCAATATTTTGATGTGTAATGATGGCACTTGGCAAAATGTAATGCTTACTCATTTTGTTGACTTCTATGACTTTGTATTTTTGTGTTTTTATAATGTGACCTGTGACTGTCACTGTGTCACTGTGACCTGCCTTGTTGCTGAAATGTGCTTTGCAAATAAACTTGATTGTTCACAATGATCAATCAATCATTTGTATGGGGTGTGATCACATAAATTACACAATTACATAGCAATTATCAATAACTGCTATGATTAATAATTACCACTCCGTCTGGGTCCGACCAACTTCTGATGTGAAGCGATCACTGAACTGTTAGTTATCTTTTACATTTATTTCTTGTTAATGGCTGTCGTGGTCTTATCTCCTTGCAGGAATAAGGAGTGCCCTACCTGCCGTAAGAAGCTTGTTTCTAAGAGGTCACTCCGTCCTGACCCCAATTTTGATGCTCTGATTAGTAAGTAACCACACAGAAAAACAACTTTATATCTTTAATTCTATTTGAATAACACATCTTAATTGAGTAGAAATTATTTAAACATTTATTTTCTGACATTCCTTTTAGATTGTTTTTCTTTCTAAACAGTCTGTCCTTTTATATTTATTTTGTATTTAATGCATTGATGTATTATGCCTGCGATATACATCTACTATTAATTCAAATGGGGAAACTTTGTTTTTCTCAAATTCTGCAAGTTGAATGCACAATGCAAGTTCTGTAAACTTACATTGTGCCAGTAAATCAACCCTTCAAAGGTTCATGTACTTAGGCCTGTCGCGATAAACAATAAATCAATTAATCGCACCATAAATTAAACCTATCGACCTCATTTTAATTATCGGCTTTATTGTCTCTTCCTGCCTTTTTTTCTTTCTGTTGATGACACTGAATGAAAAAAGGCTCAACTCCGGTGCTCTGCACTGACCCTCCCTTCCTCATTTCCTTAGTGTAATGCCCAGCACACTACACGAGTTGTCGGCCCATTTTCAAAACCTGAGAGACCACCATTAGCCGACAGAAATCCTAGGTATAACGGTTCAATCGGGTTCGATCGTGCCTTGTGGCATGGGCACAAAATAATGGCTATAAGCCCAGTTAACTAATTTTAAAATCAGGCATTAATCAATGTTTTACTACAATCTACCCGTGACGCATGTGGCTAGATTCAGCGTAAAGTCCTGACTGAATGAAAATCATTATAACCTATTTCACGTTAACGAAGAACAGTTGAAAAGTTACCGGGTTTATCAACTGCGGTAGCAATTTGGCTCCAACTCCTCCCCTTGTAATTTCTATATTCTTTGCACGAAATGTTGAATAAACATTAATGTTATCACACATCATCTCCAATGTCCACTGGACTTCGGGTTGCGCTGTGTCAGCTGTTTGGGATTCCCCTCCTAATTTCCCCTCAGAAAGCACAGGAGAATCCGCCCTTTCTGATTGGCTACCTGTCACATTCAACAGGCCTTAAGCTCCCAGTCGGGAAAACCCCCGATTTAGATCAAAGCGGCCATGACGATCTACTGTAACATACCACACACTACAGGATGATCGGTTACGAAATCACCAGCGACAATCTTAGATCGGCTAACGATCTAAGGTTGTCGTAAGGGGAAAATAGGGGCAAAAAATCGTGTAGTATGAACTACTGCATCAGGTAGTCAGATGTGTCCATCTTCTCTATTTAAATCTAGTGATTACTGAAGGGCAATATAGTATACAGACTTCATAATCTGCACTCTTTTGGTTGAATGCAGTATTTATTTCCACTTTGGCTTTATGTTGTTTAGTTTTTATTCAAGTACGTTTTTTGTTAATGGAGACTGAGAATCCATTTTATTTTTGTTTTTGGTTGTTTTATTTATTTAGTTTATTAGTTCCAGTGTTATGTGTTCTTTTGAAAATAAAGTGCATGTACCTATAGCAGGAAATCACATGCATTATTAGTCATTTCCATGAAATGAGTGTCAAAAGGTATTGAAGCAATATTATCGTCTATCACAATAATTTTTTAGACAAATAATTGCTCAGCAAAATTTGTTATCGTGACAGACCTAGCTACAA